ATTTCATTAGCAATATTTTGCCAAAATTTTCTTTTATTTCTTTCATGTTTGTAATGAAATTCATTATTTCCAATCTTCCTTTTTTCAATCAAACATTCAATTTCCTCATTGGTCTACTCAGCAACATACATGATAATTTAAAAATTTTTTTTTGAAATAATAATAAGCAAAAAATACTTTTAAATTGTTTCGATAAATGAATAAAAAAATTAAGTATTTGATTAAAAGCAATTTTTTTTTTCGAAAAAATGAAAAAGAAATAATGAAAGAATAAATTGAATAAAAAAATTAAAAATTTTGATGTCAATGCGATAAAATGTGATTAAAAAGATTGTAAAAAAAATTTTTTAAAAAAAAGAGGAAAGTGAAAAAGCATACTATTTATAAAAAAAAATCAATTCAATATATTACTAATCTAAAAAAAATTATTAAATGAATATTCGCAAAAGTTTATTTAATTATAATAATTACATAACGTACATTCGTTTCATTTAATTAGAATATCGCAAATAATTATTTCAAGTCAGATAAATTATTTTATTAGCAAATTATCATTAAATCATCATTACGCACAAGCCAAATCATTTCATTTGATCAAAAAATTAGTAATTCAATATTTCGAATCATATAAGCCCTTCGTTTGACTTGAATTTTGCGAATACTTATTAAATCATCATTACGCACAAGCCAAATCATTTCATTTGATTAAATAATTATTAATTCAATATTTCGAATCAGATAAGCCCTTTCGTTTGACTTGAATTTCGCGAATACTCATTAAATCATCATTACGCACAAGCCAAATCATTCCATTTGATCAAAAAATTAGTAATTCAATATTTCGAATCATATAAGCCCTTTGTTTGACTTGAATTTCGCGAATACTCATTAAATCATCATTACGCATAAGCCAAATCATTCCATTTGATTAAACAATTATTAATTCAATATTTCGAATTAGATAGGCCCTTTCGTTTGACTTGAATTTCGCGAATACTTATTAAATCATCATTACGCATAAGCCAAATCATTCCATTTGATCAAACAATTAGTAATTCAGTATTTTGAATCAGATAAGCCCTTTCGTTTGACTTCAATCTCGCGAATACTCATTAAATCATTTGAATCGATAAAATATCTATAATAATTATTAATTTATTATTACAAATCATATGAATCATTCCTTTCGATTTGAAAATGATGAATATTTATTGAATTTATTATTAATTAAATTTCACGAGTATCTCATCAGTATTTTAATCAACCCCGCTTTCACCCTGATTCAACCCTGATTTAACTACCATTACTTTTGTATTTTCCTTTCTAAAGATAAAAAATCTTAAAAAAGTTTAACATTATCTAACAAAATTACTAAAAATTACCAATTTCGGCTTCATCGATCATCTGAAATTATTAAATTACTAGGTTAACTCTTACTCTTCAATACTAATTTAATTAGTTATGCGAGAATATCATCAGTGATTTAATTACCTCCGCTTTGACCCTGATTCAACCCTGATTTAACTACCATTGCTTTTGTATTTCCCTTCCTAAAGATAAAAAATCTGTAAAAAGTTTAACATTACCTAACAACATTACTAAAAATTCCCAATTAAGGCTTCGTAAATCATCAAATTACTCTTCGATACTAATTTAATTAGTTATAATCAGTGATTTGATTTCAACCTGATTTAACTTATTTTTTATTTATTTTTTTTTTGCTTTATTTTTTTTTAACAATAATTTATATTCAAAAAAAAAATATTATATATATATTTTTTTTTTATTTGTTTTTATTAAAATAAATAAATAAATAAATAGACAATCTTCATTTCAAATCAACCACAATCTTAATAATATTAATTAAAAAAAATTATATTTATATTTTAAAATTAAATATAAATATATCGATTGATTATTTAAAAATTTTATTATTTTATTTTTAATAAAGAAAATTAACATGTCTAATAATACATTTCAACATTATACTTTTGATACAGATCTTTCACTAGAACCATTATTGAATTATCAAATAAATTTAGATGCTATGTTAAATTATTTGCAATATCAATTATAATCTCATCAAATTATGTCTCCTTTAACTCCTCTCACTTCTATTTCACCTTTCTTTGCATTAAATTCTTTGCATTTACCATGAACACCATACACAAAATTTTTGAAATTAATAAATAATTTTAATTCAAATATTTTAAACCAATTTATTTGAGATCTATGCGCATTTTGTGGTCATCTTATGTATCCTGAAAAATGTGAATGGTTATCCTACGATCCAAATTTTTTATATCTACTTTTACAAGCTTACCCTGAATCAAATCCCGAATCACTATTGATCTTTCATGTTAATCTTCCAAAACGTATTGCAATATGTTTATCTTGTAAAAAACCTACAAGTAAATATACCTTTCCTTTTCTTCATCCTATTCCAAATGAAATTCAAGCTGTACCCTTAAATAATCGAATATTTTTATCTTCTGTATTCATGTATTATTCTTTAGGAAGAAATTCACGACATAGCATAATAAATACAGAATATAAAACTCTAACTGGAACAATGAATTTTTCAAAAAATATGCGTTCTTTGATCTTATATTCTGGAATGATCAGTGCCTATCTTGAAGATAATTCAAATAATTCTAATACTTGGCTTAATAATACTTTAATTCATGCCGCAAATTGGTTAAAACAAAATAATCCATTTTTAAAAAATTACTCTCGCCTTTTAAATTCACCTAATTCTCAAATTGCCAATCCTTTTCCAAAAGCTTTTCATCTATCTGACGATGATTCTGCCCCACCCTTTTTATCTAATGATATTGTAGTCCCAAATATTAATTTTAACACTGAAATTCACAATGAAGATTATCATTATTCACATCTAATGGCAGGATTTGTCAGAACTCCAAACAATACTTTGCTACCAATATCCATAAATGATCCAAATTTGGAAGTTTTATTATTTCCTGATTTATTTCCAGATGGAAAAAGACATTATTATCACAATATTCGTTCTAGATCAACTTCCGCCCACAAAGAAACCTATTCTAAATATATTAAACAAAGAACACTCAATATCGATTCACGTTTTAGGCTTCATCATAAATAGTTGGCATAGTCATATTTACAATTAGAAAAATTACGCAACCACCAAAATAATCAATGTATATGGAGACAATAACAAGCTGATAAAACATATCGTTCACCAACTGCTGCACAGCTTATTTGAACTTCTAATTATTTTAATAAGCTAATAATAGATGAATCATTAACAACCACCTTACCAACTTTTATTCAAACTGGTGAATCTTATTTTCATGAAAAACAGCATCACATCAATACAATGATTTCATTATATGGATTACCTTCAATTTTTCTTACACTGATGATGGCCAAAAGTCATTGGAAACACTTACATAAAATTTTAAAATCAACAGATAACCACCATACAATTCCTACAAACAGACCAGTACATACTACATTACATTTTATACATCGCTTTCAGCAACTCAAAAAGCATGTTTTAAAAAATTCCTATCATTCAAATTGGGGCAACATAACTCAATATTTTGAAAGAGTAGAATTTCAAAATCATGATGCTGCGTATACACATAGCATATATTGGGTAACAAAATCAATTAAACAAATGATTGATAAAAATATCATAAGATCTGACTTACTGGATTAAAATTTAGAACCAGAATTATATGCAAAAGTAAAAGCAAATCAAATATACACTTGTAATTCAAAATGTGGAGGTCTTGCTGCTTTAGAACATACTTGCAAAAAAGGATTTCCCCGTCCTTTTTCATTATGTACTCATTTTAATAATGAAACTCAAACTTACATTTATAAATGTCTTAAACCAGAAGATCAATGGGTCGTTCCTTATTATCCTTAAATTTTATTGATTTGGGATGCACATATGAATATTCAATATATAAGCTCTCGAAAATTAGCTTTTTATTTGACAAAATATATAGTAAAATCAGAATCATCTCACGTTTACAATATTAAAGAAGATGATAAATTTAGAGAACATATTGTAGCCCAAAGATTAGATTCTATGTAATTAATATTTTTGATATTAGGTGAAACTATTTGTAATTCTTCTTCCTCCATTATGTATTTTACTACTGATCCTCTGTCAACTAGACCTAAAGCAATCCGCCTTATTTACCTAATCAATGAAACCAATGATAATCCATATTACACAAATCATATTGAAAAATATTTTGACCAGCCATGTGAAGAAGAATTTAATAACTTAACATATCCACAATATTTTCAAAATTATGAAATATTCGTTTTCAGACCCACAACATGACTTTCTATTCACATTGACAGATTGGGTAATTATATAATTAAAAGAACTACTCCAAAATTAGTTCGATTTTGACATTTAATATTACAGAATAGCCAATTATATTTTTATCAAAAACTGTTACTAAAAACTCCTTGTAGAAGTGAAGAAGAACTTCTTGCAAACTTTGTGACTTATCGTGATCATTGGCTAACAAACATCCTGAATAAAACGAGGCCATTTAACAAATAACTCAACAATATTTACATACACAATAATTAAAGTTTAACTCTCAATTTAATTAATTGTTAGATACTCTAATTCATAATCTAAAACCTTTTATTCCAGATTCCATATCTACACTAATTAATATTCAATTACATTCTTTGTGAATTAATCCTTCTATCATTCCTCAATCTAATACATTAAACCTTCCAAATGATTAACTAAATATAATTTTAACTATTCGTAATGTCTTAGGTCCGATACAACAAAAAAACAAATATCCATATTTTTTTCATAACAGGATTAGCTGGTACTGGAAAATCATTTATAATTAATTTAATTATAAACAATTTAAAAAAGAAAAAATCAAATTATTTGCTTTTAGCTCCAACAGGAGTTGCTGCAACAAACATTCAAGAAAAAACAATTCACTCATCATTAAGAATTCACAAAAAATTAAGTGGATTTCAAACTTTGGCTTTTTATAATAACAAATATTTTATGTTTTTAAAAAATATTGATATGATAATTATTGATGAAGTTTCAATGGTGTCAGAAAGACTTTTCAGTTTTATTTTGGATATGTTTTCAGTTATAAAACAACAAACGATCGCATTTGGAGGATTGAATGTAATAGTAGTCGGAGATTTAGCCTAATTACCTCCTATAACTGGATTACCCGTATATAAATCATCAGAATGGAAATTGTTTTATCCCTTATTTTTAAAACAATCTCAAAGACAAAACCAAGATATACAATACTATAACATCTTACAAGAAATTAGGTTAGGCAACATATCATTAGTACATGGACTACTTTATATCAAAAAAATAGATCCTTTGATCATCAAAATCCACTCAATGTTGCCCTTAATATAACAAATATTGTTGGATACAAATGAACTGCTGATCGCATAAACAATATGATTTGCAATATGCTACCAGTAAATGATGATAAGTTTTTAATT